TGTTTTTTTCTGAGGTAAATGTGACGTTACGTGATATTGTTTACAAGCCGTTATATTGACGTCTTTGCGCGGCTGAAACACTAATTGAGCGAATACATGAGACAGGATATGGATTGTAAAGTTGTACTCTTTCTTTTAACTTGCCTTCGGATGTTTAGTCATGTTTACTTCGTTCTGAAACTGGTATTAATATGGAGGAGATGATCAGTTCACGTGCGCCTCGCGCTGCCACGTCAATGGGCGTGCCGCGCTACAGCGATCACTCAACATTAAACAGCGGCAAAACGGCATTTATTGTTTGAATACTGCAATACAATGAGCATAATTTGAAATCTGAGACTTTGTTTCATAATAAAAGTACCAAAGCACAATGCTTATTGCGATTTATTGGATGGGAGAATGCCCTTCAATGTTCCATCCATTAACTGAAAACAGGCTAGACTAATCGTAATCGATATCGTTTCTTAAATATGAGAATCGATTATAATCGAGATATCAATATCTTTTACGCAGCCCTAGTTTACACTGTGAGCCTTAGTGCTCAATTCCGATTTTTGCTCAGATCCGATTTTTCTGTATAGCTGTTCACATTGTTGTTTTAAATGTGGACAATATCAGATTTCCAGTGTGAACAGATCATGGTTCAGAACTGACCCGCATGTGCAAAAGAACAATACGAACAGAGTTGCCAGGTTTTCACAAAAAAATCTGCCCAAATGCTTCTCAAAACTAGACCAATTACGCTCTGGGGGTTATTTATCGCGTTAGTGGGGTCGCTTTAATCCACGGAGTTGAAAAACAGCCAGCGGCAACGATGAAAAAGTTGCCCAATTCTGCGGGAAAACTGTGGACTTGGCAACACTTGTGCATACGGAAGTAAACACGGAGGACATAAAGCGATTATGCGTTTATTTATAGTGTGATCTGCCGCAGAAGCCAGTGAAATTATGTGCAGGCAATATGAAAAATAAAGAGAATGATGTGACAGAAGAGAGCGGAGTTTTGAAACTTTTATGATTCGAGCCCTTATGGTTTGCTTGTATATAGAGTTGTCACTGCAATACTTATGAGTTCTGACACATCACTGTACTTCCACTGACTACCTTTCGCAACTGTCTTGATAGCTTTGGGTATGTAAAATCTTTGAAGTGACTCCCACAATATTTTTGTCGGTCACAATAGTCACTGTGTCAGATTTCACGATTTTGACTCCTAAAATCTTGTTGTGTCGTGGACAAGAAACATGTCAGACTACACGTTGCTTCCCGACCATTCATCGCGTGCCGTCTTTAACGACATGTGTGATGTCATCGAGAAGGCGGAACTAGCGACTGACTTCCGAAAACAAGAGTGTAAACATTGCTGAAGCGCTTCCGCTATAGTTCGCCAGCATTTTTCTTTCTTTGTTCTGTCGTGGTAGTCCCTCGATGACACATCATACAGGCAGGAGTACTGTTGCCACAGCTCCACGAACCTTTCCTCCATCTCATAATTCCACCTAGCAGCACCATCATCTCTCTTTCGTTTTGCCATGTTTGAAACCGGTGTATGAAAGAGCTTCTGTGCTGCTATTTGGTCAACGTCACCAATGTGACAGAACTCGTCGTGGACGACGGAAAAAAAATTAAACATGCTAGTCTTTCTGTCGTGAAGCATCGCAGACGCGGAATCGGTTGTCGTCCACTATGACGCACTACAACGATGGAATCTTGCGTCCTGACGCCTATTGTCGTTTACGAATCCCCTCGACACCCTACGTCAAGCAAATCTTGGCAAAATAGGGCAAAAATCGTGTAGTCTGAACCGGGCATAAGAGTCAGTAACCTATTCTGTTTGGATTAGGGCTGCACGATAAATATCGCACGATGTTTAATGTGCATCTCGTCAGTAAAGCCGGTTCTGTAATCAGCGGTAAATCTACACGTGCGTGCTTTCACGTGGAGCAGCATTTACTACACAGAGCCGTTGTTCACAGACAAGCTGCGCAAAACCACGATCATATTTTGCGCATGTTTTGCGCAGCTCGCGGTAACTCTACACGTGCGTGCTTTCACGTGGAGCAGCATTTACTACACAGAGCCGTTGTTCACAGACAAGCTGCGCAAAACCACGATCATATTTTGCGCATGTTTTGCGCAGCTTGTCTGTGAACAACGGCTCTGTGTTTATCGTGCAGCCCTAGTTTGGATGCTGTTTTAGACTGTAGACCAGTGGTTTTCAGTCCTGGTCCTGGGTACCCACCACTCTGCACATTTTCTCTCCTTTATTTAGCACACCTGATTCAGATCATCAGCTCATTAGGCGAGAGCTCCATGAACTGAACTGAGTCAGATAAGAGCGACAGCAACAATGTACAGAGCGGTGGGTCCCCAGGACCAGGATTGAAAACCACTGCTGTAGACAATTGAGACAGCATGTTTTTTTTTGTTTTGTTTTTTTAACGTAGCTGTTATGGCCACTAGATGGCAGCACTGCATTAAGCACTATTGCGGTCCTCATCCAAATCTTACTGCAGTGCTGACTGGCGTTTTACACATCTGCTCCGGATGGACTTTTACCCCTCTAGGCTGATTCAGACAAATTACCCTCTCCTTGTTTTGACTGTTCCTTTATCAGCGTTTTGCTCTGTGCTGTGGAAAGCTGGGCTAATATGTAGAGTTATTGGTAACCGGAGGTGGAGGTGGCTTGTTAAATCATGTTTTGTTTGCTTGTGCAGAAAGCTGTCTCCGGCCTTCCACCAAGCACTTTTGTCCTTCTGTCAAATGTCTGCTGACAGTCGGCTGGGCTCAGAGGTGAGTGGGATCGGGTAGCATACAGGAACAAAAGCACAAGCACATGTAGGGTCTACCTGTTGTGACACTTAGAGAGATAGTTCATCTAAATGATAAGTCAGTCATTATTTACTCGCCTTCATGTGGTTTCAAATCAGTATGACTGACTTTCTTATATGGAGCACAAAAGGAGATTTTTTTCACTTTTGAATTGGCAGTGCAATTACAGTGAATAGCCTGCAGCCTCTAATGTTAAAAAGGTTTAACAAACACCATAAATGTTTCAATAAATATATAAAATAATGCACTGTATTCCTGTAAATCTTCTGAAGCCATACGATAGCACTGTGTGACGAACAGACCAAATATAAGTAGTTATTCACTGAAAATCCTGAGATCTGTCCATGAACTCTCTTAAGTAGGTGTCATTTTCATTTCATGAATGAATCTCTCTTTTTTTTTTTCAGTCATCATTCTTTTAACTTTCATAAGTCAAATCATTTCAGTTTTTCAATAGATCCAGCACACAAAACCAAGTCTCGATTCATTCATTAAGCAAACTGATTCAGTTCAGTGTTGTTAGTGTTCAATAAAACTACTAAAGCTACTAAAAATAATTTTCAGTAATTGAAATAAAACTGAAATAAAACAAAATTTAAATAACTGATGAAAAACTTACATTTTAACTTAAACCTAAACAAAAATGTTGCCTTGGCAACTAACTGAAGTAAATACGTTTAAAGTCCCCATGAAATCAAAATTAAAGTTTTTTTGGGTGTTAGTATCAATATGTTAGTCTTAATGTTATCTATAAGGCAGTGTGCTCCAAAACAGTGACAAAATTCGCATTTAGAAGATATAAGCATTCAAAGCTTGCAGTTCGTCACTTCCGCCACGTCAAATCATACTTATGCTTCTCATCAAACTTTCTGTCCAATCAAATGCTCTCTAGAATCCGAAGCGGCCGCCCCTACACTATAAAATAGACGCTGAAGCCGCGGCTGAAATCGTTCACTTGTCCACAGAATTAGTATTTTCTGTACAGTGAATGGCACGTAGTGCACTATATAGGGGACAGGGAACGATTCAAACAGTTTAAATATGCTTTCGATTGAGGAAAAAAAGAAGTCTGGTTTCGCGCTGTGTCACGCTAACCATCGCACCGCACACACACTCTGCTCCGGTCCAGAGACACGATAGCACGGAGCGGATCACATGCGCGAGTCGGCGCAGACCACAAAATGTATCGGAGCTATTTGAATTCTACACAGAATGCTATATTTTATAGCAATATGGATGAGATTGTGGCTGGCATACCCTGTCAAATGCGGCTTTACAGAGCTCAACGGCTCTGAACGGCTCTAGCCCAAGCTGTGATATAAACGAACGCTATTGGCTATTTTAAAAAGGGGCGGGGCAGCTTGATATGTCCCGCACTGTCTTCCTGTTTCAGTTAAAATGATGTCTACACAGAGTAACGCTGCGTGTTTCTAAGCATTTCAGGGGACCTTTAAGTAGTGAAATTACTAAAACTGAAAGAATATTAAATAATAGCTAAATAGAAATATTTTTTAAAAGATATCAAAATTATTAAAACATAAACTTTGATTTTAAAAAAAGCTGATTCAAAATATGAATAAGTAATATAATATTTTATAAATAATACTAAAATAACACTGATTTGGTTATAAAGTCACTGACTCTATGCTCACTGGAGAGGAAGATTCTCAACGGATAATGATTTAAATTTCAGTCTATTCATCACACAAAGCTATACAATGCCTTCACACTTGGAATAAGTCATATGCACCACTTTTATGGTGCTTTTGTTTTGTTAAGATAGTCAAAAAGGTTTGGAACAAACATGAGGGGCGAATAAATGCCGAGAGTGCACTCTTCCTTTAAACTATCATGACCAGTCATTAGAACACTGACATGTTTGCCTCTGCTTGCTTTTATGTGGCAACATTTTTGTGCCTAATTCCCATGTCCTTGTTTCTCAGGTGTCTCGAATAGCTGACAGCGAGCAGAGCGTCATGCTCATGCTGGGCCGCTGTCTGCCACACATCGTACCCAACGTCCTGCTGGCCAAGCGAGAGGTAACCAATGACCTTTTGACCCAACAGCCCCAGCTCATCTTCCATCAGCCACTGCGGCTTCCATGTCCACTGCGGCTGGCTTCTCCTCTCATTCTATTCTTAATTCAACAATAACTCAACTTATTGTTTTCCATTGCAGTTGTGTGTGTCTCTCTCTCTCTATGCCCCCAACCCAATCCACCTCTCTCTCTTTTGTTCTATTCACTCATTTCTTCTCTTGCTTTTGTGCATGCATCTCACTGCACCGATAGAGAATGGTTGTGCACCTCTGTCAGGTGAGTGGAACACATCGGCATGTTCTCACATCAGCCCTCCTTCCTTCATCATGCGTGTGACCTTTGACCTTTCAGTTGGCTTGGCTTTTCATCAGCTTCCTTAGTTGTCAGTGACTCAAATGCATTTCCATTTATACATTTTTATTGAATGATTATTTTCAACTTTTAAATGTAAACTTTTGCTTTGTACTGAACATCTAAACTGATGAAGCTCTAAATGTCATTTTTTAGACTGATAAGTTTTTTTTTTTTTACTAATTCACAGTAATAATCTGTAATGAAACAATTTTATTATTTATAATATTATTATTATTAGTAGTAGTAGTATATTTTTTATGGTTTATAATGATATATAAACAATAACTTTTTATTTATGTAATGCTTTTCCGAAGCTTATGTACATTTACATTTTTAATCATTTGAACTTTTGTTGGAATATTTATGATAAAGTAAATACAGCAAAACAAGCAATACATACGTGACTAAACTGGGAAAACAGCTTTGACAAAAATGTGTTTTAAAATGTCTTTCTCTTCCTGGGAAGCATAACAGAAAAATATTGATGGCTAATCTTGCACTCAGGAGTATTAAAAGCTTTTTTAAAAGCTACTACTCTTAAAGAGTATTCATAGGCAGGATGTAAAGTGGCATGCCTAAAAACTCATAACTGTGGTAAAACATTCAGTCTTATGGGGCGGTCGCACTACACCTTTTATTCCAATGACTTGCGTTCGTATGCATGTGAATACGGTAGACCAGCAACAGACGTTTCACATTTCAGTGCGTTCCAAAGTGAATTTTGTATTACATGAAGATGTGTGACCAATAGAAGATTGATATGTCACAGCGTAACCTCTTAGCTGAATTTAAAGAATGCAAACATTAGAGCTGCAAGAAAAAAAAACTAATTGTATATTTTTTTACATTTTAGATTTATCATTATTTAATTATTTGTTGAATTTGTTTGTTTGTTTTTTGTGATGTCATATCTCATCTGTGAGGTCATACCTCGTCTGCAGTGTCTGAAGACATGTTGCATCCCCAAAGTTTAGTGGGACTGCCCCTTGAAGTTTCTTATTCACTGCAAAAAAAATAAAAAATTCTTACTTAGTATTTTTGTTTTTTTTCCCAGCACAAATATCTACACATTCTTGAATTAATATACGTTTACTTGAAAAGCAAAACTTAAAAAATTAAGTCTTGTTTTCTGAAAAAGAAAAAAAAAATCTAAATGTATATGTAAAACAAGAAAAAAATATCTGCCACTGGGGTAAAAAAAAAATCTTAATTCAAAGTAAAAACAAGATTATTTTTCTTGCCCCATTTGCATATATTTTTTCTCAATTTTGATACATTTTTCAGAAAACAAAATTTAATATCTTATGTTGTTATGCTTTTCAAGTTAATATATCTTGATTTAAGAATGTTTTGATATTTGTAATGGAAAACAAGACAAAAATACTAAGTAAGAAATAAATGTTTTGCTTTGTTGCTTTCATAAAATGATTGCAACAGCAACATAAATTGCAACATTGTTCAATGAATATATAGTTTAATTTTTAGTTAATTAAATTGTTTGTTAGCTTAATAAAATTATTTTCTGCAAATAAATATAGTTAATTAGTCCAACTGTTAGCCGTTTACAGTAGCTGTCACAGGTTACAAATTTTTTTAACGAAAAACTAAATAGCAATTTTAGACGAATAATTCCAAGTTAAACTTTGACAGCCAAGCCAATGGAACATTTCTATGCTGTGATTTTTCTGTGCTTCAGGCTGCATTAATTCAGTGCTTGCCTTTCAGCTGACGGTGAAACCTTGTCTGAGTTTAAAGTGTTTTCTTTGCCTCCCTATTACAGAGCTGATTTGGTTTAAATGACTAAAATTTTGAGAGAAAAAAAAACCAACATAAGGTACGTGCACACATTTCACATCTGTTGAGAGCAGACCCAAAGGTGTGTACCGTTCCAAGCAAGTTCCACAGCATTTCCCTCATCGGGCCCCTCTGATTTGCATAGGGCAGTTCTGTTTTACGGGAGCCAGGTGACGGTTTAAGATGGATTGGATGCTTTCCAGGCTGAAGTCGGGTGAAAACAAACACCGCACGAGGAGTAGAGATCTCCTTGCTAAACTGGACTTTGAGCTTTGCCTGTTAGTTCTGTTGGCTTCGTAACCTTCTTCCTTGAATTCAGACACACTCACACTCTGACACACCCTCAGTTTTCCCCTCATCTGGTGCAGAACAATTACTAATCAGGCGCTGCTGGAACACCTGCCTTGCAATTTGATTCCTGTCATCTGCACACCTACAAGAACTTTATTGTAAAGATAAAGTCTTTCAAATTAAAGGCTATTCAAGTTATTGATTACCATGTAAAACTGATAAGACATCAAATACAGCAGCCATTACACTGTGTGTTTGCAACAGTCCAAAACCCCCTTCTTACTGCAGAATTATGTCTGGTGTGTTTGCATATGTGGGTGTATTTCTGATTGATCCTCTTTGCTTTCTGCTGGTAATTATCTTGATATGGAGCAGTTGATTTCCTTTGTGTTTAAGAAATGAGTCAATGCAGGCTGATGGTATAACTGAAAATTTGCATATAGATACAAGTTTTCATGGGAAACCATTTGGAGTGACAAGGAATCCAAACGTTCAAGTTCTTGCTTTGTTTTTTCTTTGTTTAGTGAGAGTTTAGAACAGATTTTATTGTTTGCATTTTTGTAGCAACATTGGCCCAAAAGTGTTTGGAGACTTCAGCCACAAACAAATGTCATTGCATTTACATTAAAACAATTATTTATTATAAATTTATTATAAATAATTAATGTGAGTTTGTCAAGCAAAATGCATCACAAAGCCATTTTATTTATACATTTTAAAACAAAAACATTTTTATTTATTAATAATAAAACAATATTCATTGTTATAGCAAAAAGATATAAAGTTATTTTTCAAAATTACAAAATAATGGAAAGTTAGGGTAAATTCATGAAAAATCATTGGTCAAAGTGTAAGAACCCTCTAGAATCCTCTGTTTTGTTATCTAATGAAATTAGAGTTTTTTTTATTTTTTTTAGTGTAGTTAAATTTTCCTTATAATTGTATTTAGGCCCTGTTTTAAACTATAAGTAGTTTATTTTAGCAAAATGCATCACAGAAGGAAAATTTGGTAACACTTTACAATAAGGTTCATTAGTTAACATTAGTTTATTAAAATCAAAATGTGCTTGTTAACATTAGTTAATGCACTGTGAATTAACATGAACTAACAATGAACAACTGTATTTATCAACTAACATTAACAAAGATTAATAAATACTGTAATAAATGTATTGTTCATTGTTTGTTCATGTTTGTTAATACATAACTAACAGTAACTAATGGAACCTTATTGTAAAGTGTTAACTAAGGTAGTTAACTAATGTTAACTAATGAACCTTATTGTAAAGTGTTACCAAATTTTCTTTCTGTGATGCATTTTGCTAAAATAAACTACTTCTAATTGTATTTAGGCCCTGTTTTAAACTATAAGGATTTCAGAGATGTTATGAAACTACTGGTTGGTCTGTTGGAGACGTTATATATTCATAAATATAATGTTATTTATGAATTACAAAACAAAATACACTGTTATAACAACAATATTTATGGAATTTTTGGTCAAAATGTATGGAAATTCTTTGGTCAAAGTGTCAGAACGGTCTAGAATCATTTTTGTTGTTTTTTTTTTTTTTTATGCGATGAGATTATTATTTAATTTTATTCTATTTTATAAAAATGCAGTTTTTCTTGGAAGCATCCTCTGTAGTTTAAACAGGGCCCAAATACGATTAGTGTGTGCAATTATTTATTGGTTCCCATTCTTAATGCCTTAATACTCTTCCCATTCTTAATGCCTGCTTCTAATCGTTAATCTTTTCCCAGTAGCTCTTCCACAAAAGTTGTTTCCACTCACACATTTTCACACTTTCACTTTGGGCCAGAGCCAAATAAAATATTTCATAAATGTGGCTCTGTTGAAAGCTCTCGTCCAGGTGCAGGCGACGCTGCTGCCTCATAATGCCACACTCTCACACAAAGTCACTACTGATGAAACGGCTCATTGCCGTCTCCAACAGACCAACCAGTAGTTTCATAACATCTCTGAAATCCGAATACAATTATGGTTTTAACTCTTGGCAGGTAACTTCCCCCCCAGAAGCAGGTGTATTGAAAGAGCCGTCCAAACAAACAAGCACAGCGTCAAACAGCCTGCAGTCTTGCCTCATGTTTGCTTAACTATCTTTCACTTTAAAGTGTCTGTTTGAGGCTGAGCTCTTGCCACAGTCACGTCTCAAGATGAGATAAATCTAGAGAAAATAAACACTTCTGTGTCGAATCTTCATGGGAATCCTGATCTGTTGTTTCTATTCTGGGTCTTCGTGGAAAACAGGGCTAGTAACCACTGTTTGGCCATGAGACTTGGACCAAGGGCACACTGCCTGTTTTGTAATGCGATATCTGTTGTGCTGATGAGGTTTTTCGTAACTGCTTCTCACTGTTACGGTAAACAACCACAGATTTACATGGCTAAATGGCTTTCTACATACTTCAGAGAATACATCCGCATACACACATGATGATACAGACATGCGCTTCGATATGTCTTTGTGCTAGTACTGGGCAATACATATATCAATATTTTTGAGCCTTTTGACAAAATTCAGTTTATTTCTATATTCATTTGTTTGTTCTGAAAATGTGTTTTTTTTTTTTTTAAACCAAACCTTCATTATACAGCCATAAATTCCAGTTAAAAATAATCAAGTTTTTTCTTTTTCCAAATAGCTTTGCATTAAGTGAACAGGGAATAATAATCTTTAATTAAATTTCATATATATGCACCAATATACAGTGTTTCCATAGACCTGGAAATATCAGAGAATTTCAAATGTGTGATTTCCAGGCCTAATAAATGTTAAAAGAATGTCATGCAAATGTATAAAGATGACTAAATTCATAAAAAGTATTTTCCAGACAGAAAATGGTTAAGAAAAAAATAATAATTTATATATTTATATATATATATATGTGTGTGTGTGTGTGTGTATATATATATATATATATATATATATATGGTTAAGAAAAAAATAATAATTTATATATTTATATATATATATATGTGTGTGTGTGTGTGTATATATATATATATATATATATATGTATGTATATGTGTGTGTGTGTGTGTGTGTGTGTTATATTTGTTTTTTTTTTATTTCATTTAAATAATTGTGTGTGTGTATATATATATATATATATTTGTTAACACGTTTGGACATTTATTTTTTTACTTAATAAAAATGCCATGCAACTTAAAAAATTAAAACACAAAGTGACATTGAATTACAGTTCTTTTTAATTTATTAATTTATTTTAACTCTATAACATTATTTTTAAAGTTAAAATCTAAATGCTCTCAAACTCGAGAATTGTTCGATTGTGAAAATTGAGAGTTTTTAGGAAACTTGATGACCAAATCAAAATAATTTCAGTAAACACAGTGTTTTTAAATATTATATCACCAACAATTTAGTTCCAAACATGCCGTGAATATCCGATATATCACCCAGCCCTTGCTGGTGCTGTGATTTAGTGGCTTGTAGACTCTCTCCTCTGTGGTGAAGGTGTTTCTTCAATAGAGTAGCTTTTCCCATATCCTCAAATACCTGTTTGCAGAAGTTCCTTGTCCAAGCCTATTGGGATGGTCTCAGCAGATGCATGCGTGTGTTTATTTCCCTGTGCAATGCATGTTGTTTGACCTGCGTTCCTGTGTGTGTCCACAGGAGTTGATTCCTCTCATTCTGTGTACGGCCTGCCTGCATCCCGAGCCCAAAGAAAGAGACCAGCTACTGCACATCCTCTTTAATCTTATCAAGAGACCTGACGATGAGCAGAGGTGTGTGCGCATTTGGGCATCTGCTCATGTGTAAACTGACCAAAAAAAATCGGTTTTGTTATGAGTTTGATAACACTCTGCTGTAATCTTCCTCTCCAGGCAGATGATTCTGACCGGGTGTGTGGCATTCGCCCGGCATGTGGGTCCCACTCGGGTGGAAGCCGAACTCCTGCCACAGTGCTGGGAGCAGGTTAGTTCTGCACTCATACACACTCGCCACATAATTGCTTTTGAATTGTGTAGGCATACTCTTGTCAGTCACACAAACCAAATAGTCAAAACAAAATTTTTTTTACATCCTATGAACTTTTTTATCTATACATCTGTAATAGTTTTTATACGTGAGAAGGTTAGCCAATCAAAGCATGGCTGATTTGCATATAGAAGATGCAGTGGCAAAATAAGCTACTGTTTATCAGGGTTAGAGGAAGTGTAAAAATGTCATGGAAAACTACATTTATAATGACTTTTGGTGTCAAAAACCTTTACTAACATAAGTGGACTTGGAAAAAGTACTATGGAAGTGTAGAATATGGTGCATTAAAGTGGTCTCAAACGTATTTGGACATTTAAGTCAAAATTAAATATTTTTTAGCATTTTTAGCTTTTACTTGATCGGTTTCAAATTTTTTAGTCTTTTTAGAATGGGTTATTTGAATATTTTTAGAATGGAATATTCAAATCTTTTTAGAATGGAGTCTTTATAATGGAATATTTTAACCTTTTTACAGTGGAATCTTTATAATGGAATATTTGAATATTTTTACAATGGAACCTTTGATTCCTTTTAGAATTCCATCTTTGAATCTATTAATGGAGTTTTTATAATGGAATATTTTAACCTTTTTACAGTGGAATCTTTATAATGGAATATTTGAATATTTTTACAATGGAACCTTTGATTCCTTTTAGAATTCCATCTTTGAATCTATTAATGGAGTTTTTATAATGGAATATTTTAACCTTTTTACAGTGGAATCTTTATAATGGAATATTTGAATATTTTTTACAATGGAACCTTTGATTCCTTTTAGAATTAGCATCTTTGAATCTATTAAAATGGATTTTTTATAATGGAATATTTGAACCTCTTTACAGTGGAATCTTTATAATGGAATATTTGAATATTTTTACAATGGAACCTTTGAGTCCTTTTAGAATTAGCATCTTTGAATCTATTAAAATGTAGTTTTTATAATGGATTATTTTAACCTTTTTACAGTGGAATCTTTATAATGGAGTATTTGAATATTTTTTACAATAGAATCTTTGAATCCTTTTAGAATTAGCATATTTGAATCTATTTAGAAAGTAATCTTGGCAATAGAATATTTAAAACATTTCTATTTGAATCTTTCGAAATGTAATTAAAGACTTGAAGTAATTAGATTTCTGTGGACATAGTAAACAATAATTGAATACTGAATTTTCAAATATTTCAAACTTTTTAGATTTTAATACTTAAACTTAGGTGAGAAAGAATGGATGGGATCTTTTTAGTCTTAAGACTTTTTTATTAGATAAATGCAGAAAAAACACACAGTAATTGAATATTTATTTATTTATTTTTCTTCCCCCCCTTCTTTATTTTTCTTTAATCAAGTTTAATGATTAAAGTTTAATCATTAAACTTTTTTTTTTTTTTAAGTATCCTAAAAGTTGTTGAAAGACCAGTTGGTTAAAATGTATTTAAAAATGTAAAAGTAGTTACAAAATGGCTCAGAAAGGTTTTATCCATTATATATTTATGAATATTCTATCATTTCTACAATGACTCTCAAACTTAAAGTGTGAATTAAATTGTCCCAAAACATTTTGAAGCCACTGTAGATCATGTCCATGGCTTGGTACACGTCGTCATGTTAAGGAAATTCTCAAAAGTACAGTACATTCGCATCTCCCCACATGGAAACCTATTTCCGCTTAGGAAATAACCTAAACAATTTCAGCGTTGAACACTGAAAAATATGAGCTAATGTGGTTTACAGAGGGTGCGGGTGGGTATGCAGTCCTGTGGTCAGAGCTGGAACTGACGCTGCCGTGTTGTGTCTTTCGCTGTCTGTCGCATGTGTGTTTCTCTCGCTCAGATCAACCACAAGTATCCAGAGAGAAGACTTCTGGTGGCGGAAGCATGTGGAGCCCTGGCCCCTTATTTACCCGTAAGAGACTGCATTCCTCTAATATAAAAGCAGTCTAACTGGGACACATTAATCATGTTCACCTTTCAACGATGTCGCAGTTAGTGATCGCTAAAACACTAGACGTCCAAGATCACTGGGGTGAATGGTAGTCAAGCAAAAGCATGTTGAAATAATAAAATAATAATTATCAAATAATCAAATCAACAAATATCAGCATAGTGCAAAATCTGTTGGCATTTGTGTCCACTTTGATCATGTCTGTATGTGTTGCTATGGAGGAATGCTGTTTGTTTACAGTAGCTGTACATCACTCTCAGCAGGCTGTTCATCTAGTGCTATGAAACAGCCTTAGAATCATTTTAGAACTGAATCTTTAGATTGGAATCTTTGAAACCTTTTTGCATTTAATATTTACAGTTGAATCTTTTGAATCTTTTTTATTATTATTATTATTATTTAGACTGAAATGATCAGATCTTTTATATTTGACTCTTTCAAATGGAATCTTTTGAATCATTTTTTAGGATTTAATATTTAGAATGGAATCTTTGAATACATTTAGAATAGAAACAACAGCATTTAGTAATTGAATATTTAGAATTTATTTTTGTAAGTGTTATATTTGAATCTTGAGAATGGAGTCTTTCAATCTTCTCTAAGTTGCATATTTATTTAGAATACAATTTTGACATTACGGTTTTGGGGTCAGTACGATTTTTTTTTTTTTTTATTCTTTTATTTCTTTTATTTTTTTTTAGAAATTATTCTAAATTATTCTATACTTTTATTCAGCAAGGATATGTTAAATTGATCAAAAAGAGACCATTATGTTTTAGAATGGAATCTTTGAATTTATTTAGAATGGAATCTTTATAATGAAATTTTTGAATCTATTTAGAATGGAATTTTTTCAATAGAATCTTTCAATAGAATCAATAGAATCTTTTGAATCTTTTAAAATTTATATTTAGACTCAAATGATCAAATCTTCATTTTCATATTCAAATCTTTAGAATTTCATATTTAGAATGAAATCTCTAAATCCATTTAGAATAGAATAATTTGAACATTTTATAATTTAATATTTAGAACCTAATTTTCAAATCTATTATACTGTATATGAATCTTGAGAATAAAGTCTTTCAGTCTTTTCTGAATTGCATATTTATTAAGAATAAAATTTTCCAGTCTTTAATACAACTGTTCAACAATTTGAGGTGAGCATTTTTACTTTTTTTAAGAAATTAATACTATTCGGCAAAGGCACATTAAATTGTTAAAAAAAAATGTGACCGTAAAGTCAAATAGTTTCTATTTCAAATAAATGCTGTTATTATGAACTTTCTATTAATCAAAGAATTCTTTAAAAAAAAAAAGTTGCAGTTTCCACAAAAATACTGTTTTTCAACATTGGTAATAATAATAAGTGTTTCTTGAGCACCAAATCGGCATATTAGAATTATCTCTGAAGGATCATGTGACACTGAAGACTGGAGTAACTGGAGTTTACAGTGGCTGTATATCATAGAGTTATCAGAGGCTCAGTGGGCTGCTCATTTATTAATGCTATGAAACACTGGCCCACATACATCTGAACTGATCTGGCTCAAACGGAGCTCTGATTGTTGGTGTTGTGCCTTTTTTGCCTTTGTATGCTCTAGTCTGTAATGGAGAGTCTGATGTTTACTCACTTCCTCATGAGAATGAACACTTAATCATTTAACCTAAACACAGCAGAATACAAAATAAGATGTTGTGTATGCAATTCAGAGCTGGCATGGGAATACAAGTATGTGTGTGTGTCTGCAGAAGGAGAGAAAAAAAATTAACTTAAATGATTTTAGCAAATGGCTGCAATATAACAAAGAGTGAAAAATTTAAGGGGGTCTGAATACTTTCCGTACCCACTGTATATGAATCTTGAGAATAAAGTCTTTCAGTCTTTTCTGAATTGCATATTTATTAAGAATAAAATTTTCCAGTCTTTAATACAACTGTTCAACAATTTGAGGTGAGCATTTTTACTTGCATCGAGAAGCTGCTCAAGGTGAAAACCAGCACGTACACACACACAAACTTACAACCTTGTGAGGACCCTCGTTACACATTTCCTTTTGTTTCGCATGTTTAGACTTCACCTGGCCCGTTTTTAATCTATAAAAAAAATTTTTTTGAATAGAATCTTTCAATCTTTTCAGGATTTAATATTTAGAATGGAATTTTAATATTTGGAATAATACCTTAGAATCATTTTAGAAGTGAATTTTTAGCTTGGAACCATGAAAGCTTTTTGAATTTAATCTTTACAATAATTTTTTTTAAATAAATATTAAGACTCAATCAAATCCTTTATATTATCTTTCAAATAGAATCTTTTGAGTCTTGTTTTCAGAATTTAATATTTAGAATGGAATCTTTCAATCTATTTAGAATAGACTTAAGTGAATATTTGGAATATATGGAACATTGAATATTTGGAATCTAATTTTCAAATCTGTTATATTTGTATCTTGAGAATGAAGTCTTTAATCTTTTCTGAATTGAATATTTATTTAGAATACAATTTTTCTTTTTCTTTTTTTTTAAGAAGTGAAAAATTTTGTTCAGCAAGGACATTAAATTGATCATAAAGTGAAAGTAAAGAAAAATAGTTTCTATTCCAAATAATTTTTTTTATGTATTTATATTATCACAGAGCAGCACAACTGTTTTCACATTTTGATAATAAGAATAAATATTTATTGAGCACCAAATATAATGATTTCTGAAGGATCATGTGACACTGAAGTCTGCAGTAATGGCCGCTTAAAATTCAGCTTTGCATCACAGGAATAAATTACATGCTAAAATATATTAAAGGGGTCATATGATGCGATTTAAATTTTTCCTTTCTCTTTGAAGTGTTACAAGCTCTTGGTGCATAAAGAAGATCTGTAAAGCTGCAAAGACTAAAGTCTCAAATCCAAAGAGATATTCTTTATAAAAGTTAAAAGTCAACCACGCCTACCTAAAACGGCTCGTTCTAACACGCCCCCACATGTCTATGTCACGATGTGGGAAGATTTGCATAATGCCGCCCAAATGTTCACGCAAAGAAAGAAGGCGTAACTTTGATTCTCGCTGTAGTATTGTTGTTGCCGTGTGTTTCGTTGTGAAAGCGAAACTACTTTGTTTGGCCTTCCAAAAGAGGACGATATCCGCTTCGTCATGCCTAGAGCTGATCCGTGCTGGTCGCTGAGGAAATACATCCACTTCGCGCTGTGGATCGCCGGATCGGCTTTCACCGTGGACGAGTCCAGCCCGGGGTCGTCACATGTGGTTGCCTCAAGCCCCCGCCGGCCTCCGCTCACTCAAGCCCGCTGTGTGTTGCGTTGTGAAAGCGAAACTACTTTGTTTGGCCTTCCAAAAAAGGACACAACTAGAAATCAGTGGTTAAGTTGTATTTACAACACTGTTTATGGAGGACTGTTTCCTGATCCTGGTAGAGTATTTCATTACACCAAATACACAAAATAATGTTATTTTTAGCAACATCATATGACCCCTTTAAAATAGAAAGCAGTTATTTTATCTTGAAATAATATTTCACAATATTATTGGTTTTACTGTATTTTTGAATTAATAAATGCAGCCTCTATGAACATAAGAGACTTATTTCAAAAACATTTAAAAAATCTTAACACCAAACTTTTAAATGTTGTATGTTTGAATCTATAGAATGTTAGAATTAGATATTCTTTCTAGAATTAACTCTTTAAGGGTGGGTTGCACCAATAAGGATTAATCTAAAATCTAGATTAAATCAAGGTTTATCTAATAACTGTTGCACCAAACTTTAAACCTTGTTTAAAAAATAAACAGGTTTACATTTAAACCATCATCTTGATCCTGGATTTAATTTATATTTAAGATAGATTAACTTTAATCATGTTGCTCCATAACTTTAAACTCAGATTTAAATCTCAATTAGGGATTAATTTTAAATTTACAGGTGTGAGGAGGTTTAAAGAAAATAAAGTGCACCTACAGTTACAATTATGTGGCTGATTGAACAAAGACAGAAACAGCGGGTGTGTCGTCAGGTCTCAGAGAGGTGTTTATTATAAATATAAATGCAAATTAAAGCGCAATGAGCCAGCAGATTTTGAGGGTCGTTGCAGCCCATAGTAAACTTGCATCTGCTATCGAGTCCGGTATGCGAATCCATCACTTATCTTGGTGCATATCGCCTTACGACAAAGAAAAAAAGACAGGATCGCGGCCGCGCCTCTCGTTTCTCATGTGAAACGGCGATCAAACGGACGGCGCCACTGTCACGAGCGGAGGTAGTCACTCTGCGAATCATGCCAGTTATTTTCTCTTATCTCGATTGTTTTGTCATACGCTATACTCCATTAATTTATACTATAAATATATTTCCAATATTATGAAATTCGTATGCACTGCCTCAAAGTTTTGATTGCTTGCTTGATCAGCCGTTTGATCAACGGTCTCTCTACGTACGTTAGCGGTTTATAAAGACGCTGGACCTTTTACAAGTTTATTTCCTTTATCGACAAAAGCAACTTATGTCAGAGACAGAGGATAAGGAATATTAGCATTGTTGCTGTTTAATTACATGACGAATCCATCATGGCGGAGAAAATTATTCGTAGATGGAGGTTTTAATCGCAGGTTAGAATTCGAATCCCCGATTTGTTAATCTAAGTTTAAAATTAAGTGGTGCAACACAACTCGATTTAAAATAAAACCCAGATCAACAAATCCTTGATTAGCTCTAAACTTTGCTTAATTTAATCCTTGTTGGTGCAACCCACCCTAAGAGTGAAATCTTTAAGTATTGTGAACTTCAAGATTTTACCAAGTTGTGCCGTTCTTCTCAGGACATTTAGAGACATTTTGACGAAGTAACTTAGCAAAAAATCTGGCACGCTCTTTTAGCTCCATTCAGTTATTTAATTCCTAAATCCCTCTCTCTCTCTTTCTCCAGCAGGGTGAATATGGTCTAGATGAACACAAGCTGCATATGTATCTGTCAGCACTTCAGTCCCTCATCCCGTCTCTGTTTGCGGTGCTGCTTCAGAACGCCCCCTTCACCAGCCGAGCCAAACTACAGGGCGACGTGCCTCCAATCGAGGGTGAGGGATAGCCAACGTCAACATGAGCACGCACGCGTTTTTCGCTAACATTCTCAGTCAGGCCACGTTTAGCGACGCAGACCTGGCGCCTGACTCAGTGTAACTGTAGGGTTCCTGCCATGTTGAGGTTGCTCTCTGGTTTTGGGCTCACTATCAAAGTGCTCTTTCATTTACGTCCTGCGGCTGCGTCAGATGATTTGCGCAGTTATACTTTTTTGGTGTATTCATGGTTTTAAAATCTGCTCTAGGGTTCCTGCCATGTTGAGGTTGCTCTCTGGTTTTGGGCTCACTATCAAAGTGCTCTTTCATTTACGTCCTGCGGCTGCGTCAGATGATTTGCGCAGTTATACTTTTTTTGGTGTATTCATGGTTTTAAAATCTGCTCGTGTGTGTGTGTGTGTGTACGTGTGAACTTGCAGTGACCCGATTCCCGCGGCCAGCCTCCCCGTTGCAGGACGTGGCCACCATTGTGGGCAGCCGAGAGCAGTTGGCAGTTCTCCTGCAGTTATTTGATAATCAGCTCCAGCATGAAGGAACTACAGGATGGGACAGTTTGCTCTGGGTGGTCAACCAGTTGTAAGTTGATGTCTCACTCACACTCTTCCCCCTTTTGACCTCTGGGTTTTGGCCTCTTTTGCCATTTTTATTGAAGGTGGAGACAGGAACTTGGGTCACCCACTCATGTTGGAGCACCAGGCCACACCTAGAGCGTTAAATGGCATGCATATGTGTTCATCTTCATCCCACCCAGATTATTTATAAAAAGGGAAAATTAAGGGTCAGAAAGTGTCAGATGACATCATAACAAAGAGTACATTAAAGGGTTAGTTCACCCCAAAATGAAAATTCTGTCGTTAATTACTCACTCTCATGTTGTTCCAAACCCGTAAGATCTTCGTTCATCTTCGAAACACGAATTAAGATATTTTTGATGAAATGTGAGAGCTCTCACCGATGTCCTTACTACGTTTCTGGACCTGGGAACATTACAGTTGCGTTGCTGTCTATGCAGGGTCTGAGAGCTCTCTCACATTTCATCAAAAATATCTTAATTTTTGTTCCGAAGATGAACGAAGGTCTTACGGGTTTGGAACAAAATGAGGGTGAGTAATTAATGACAGAATTTTCATTTCTGGGTGAACTATCCCTTTAACGTTTGGAATAGGCCACTCCAGATAAACTCACAAGTTTTTATAAATGGCAGATCTTATGTAAGAGATGGTTAATTCTTATTAAAATAAAAATGTGTACAATTTAAATAAACAGCAATATTTAAATAAATAAAATAAATAAATAATGTTTTTTCATTAAGTGTGTGTGTGTGTGTATATATATATATATATATATATATATATACACAGTAAGTGTGTGTGTGTGTGTGTGTATATATATATATATATATATATATATATACACACAGTGGAGATCAAAATTAGAGAACAATCTATAAATGCTTGATTTTTTTTCTGAAATATTGTTAATCTTCATTGCTCAAAAATTGAAGGAATATTAGCTCTAGGTATACCACTGTTATACTAAAGTGTTTTACAAAATAACCAAGGCATTACATCAAAAACCTTTATTTTGTGGAAAACAGAGTGATCAAAATTAGAGAACTGTAACCACTGTAGTACGAAAGAAGATTACATCTAAAATGTTGGAGGATTACAGCTGTCAAAAATTAGTAGGAATTGTAGAGGCCCTTGCTTTGAGTGACTTTAGCACATCTGCAGCCACAGGACATCACTAGTTTCTCTCACTGCTCTGGTGTGAACTTGGTCCGCTCTTCTTCCACTCTCTTCCATAGTTCGGTAACTGTAGTGATTTTCTTAGCCATAACTTTGTTGCCAAGGATTTTCCAGAGATTTTCAGTTGGGTTTAGATCTCTGGGCCCACCATTTCATTATTTCAATGTTCTTAGCTTCAAGGAACTGCTTTACCCGTTTTACCAGTGTGACATTGTCTTGCATGAAAATTGCAGGCTGTTTGGGAGATGCTTGCAGGGAAGGAACCGAATGAAGTTGGTATGAGAGGCCCAACTCCTGCTGCAGAAAACATCCCCCAAACCATGACACTTCCTCCTCCACCTTTCACTGACTTCTTTATGCACTCAGGCTTCAGTCTTTTCCCAGTTTGATTCCAAAGAAAATGTTTCCCATCAGACCCAAATAAATTAAACTTGCTCTCATCACTAAAGTGAACTTTGATTCTCTCTACTAATGAAAGGCTTGGTCACTGCAGAGTGCGTTTTCAGTCCGACTTCTCTTAAATGTGCCGAGACAGATCCTTACCCTGTTCAGCGCTGAACTGGCGAGCAATTCCAGCTGCAGTGCTGAACCGATTCCCCATTGAGAGTCTCCGCATTATCCTGTCCTCTGGTGCATTTGTCTTGAGTGGACGACCAGGCTTTTGGGGGGATTTGGGGGGAGTGTCATTGTAAAGCTGCAATTTTCTAGAAATCACAGATTTGGAATGACCAGCTTCTCTTGCAGTGGCTGAAAGAGTCATCCCTTTGGCCTTCATTTGGACAACCTGCTGTTGCAGGGTTTCAGTCATCTTAGAGCGGCCCGCCATCTTGCAATCTCAGTGAAAATTAGAGGAATGCTGCCAGTTAAATAGGGTGTGTCACATAATTAAGGAAATTAGCACCAGGCACCAGATTAACACCAATAACTTGGAGGTATCTATAAGTGTTCTCTAATTTTGATCAGAGTTATTTTTCAAATATCTCATTTAAGTTTTTTAAACTATGCTTCATAATACAATTAATTTATGAAATATGCTTAAAAAACTGCCCTTCTACTCCTGTTAGGATAACTTCAAATAGGGCTAATCAGTGGCCTTGAAATTTAGGAAATTGTAGATTGTTCTCTGCTTTTGATCTATATATAAAATACACATATGTATTATATATACACACACATACAGTATGTGTGTATTTAGATTTAGATTAATTTTTTTAAATATTTTACTTTATACATTTTTTCTTTCTTTTTTTCCTTTTTGTATTACTAGTATTAGCCAGTCATAACAAAGGTCATTTACATATCATTGTCTTAAAGGTATGAGCAGCATTTTTAATTCAGAAGGTCAATTAAAACTAAATTATGAGTATTTTTGGCTGTAAAACAAAGGTACAATGGTGCAGTTGGACACAATTTAAGGTACAATGTGTTTGAAATCCTTTTAGTGATTGTATTCTTTCTATACTTCTCATATGTTGCATGTACAAGGCTTAGTTTACCTACATTTGCATTGGACCTGATTCAGTTTTTTTCTCCACAGTTTACCACAGCTTATAGATATTGTAGGACGCATCAACGTCACCTCATCCACCTGTGTGCACGAGTTCTCCAGGTTCTTCTGGAGATTATGTCGAACGTTTGGGAAAATCTTTACCAACACTAAGGTAGGACAGGTCAAAGACAATCGCCATAGAGTAATCTCTCTCTCTCTCTCTCTCTCTCTCTCTCTCTCTGTAGCACCTTTTTTTCTGTATTCTTTTTCTTTATTTGGCCAAGTGAAGTAGCTAAATACAGCTTGTGCTGCAAATAGTCTGACTCATATACTCCGTTCAGCAGTTTCAGTTTAATTTAGGTGTTCTTTTCCCCTCATTTTTGAAGGTAAAACCTCAATTCCAAGAAATTCTGCGGCTATCTGAGGAGAATGTGGGTGAGTGACTGTTCATTTAACCAAGAATAATACTCCCGCTGTCAGAGGAGGTGCTGGGAAGAGAGCACACACACACACACACACACACTCTTCGTCTCTATATCTCTTTCCCATACCGGAGACTTGTGTGTAAAATATGTGTTTTCACTCTTCATGGGATTTGGAAATGGAGCTTTTTCTTTCATTCTTTGAATGTCTGTTGAGTTTTTAAAAAAAAAAGCCTGTGGTTAAAGTATCTGCCAAAGTAGTTCCAAATGAGTTCAACTAATTCTTTTATGTCCGACTTAACTGAGTGTTCAGTTATATAAGTTTAGAGATTGTAACAAGGATTGTGTCCTGCAGACGCCTCCGCAGGAAACGGCATCCTTACAAAGGCTACGGTGCCGATCTATGCAACCGGAGTCCTGACGTGCTACAATCAGGTAGGAGCATCATTGTACGCCTGCTGTGTGACGTCTTAATTCAGGAAAGCCTCTCTCTGATGAAGTTGTTCGTTTCAGGAGGAGGACCGTAAACTCTTGGTTGGCTTTCTTGAGGATGTCATGACCACGCTGTCTCTCTCCCATGCTCCCCTTGACAGTCTAAAGGCTTCATTTGTAGAGCTTGGGTGAGTGTCGTCAGCACTGTTAAATCTGCAGCCAGGATGCATTTCTGCATGAGCTCATCTGAGGCTGCAATTCCTTTAAGCTGATGTAAAATGACTTGCTCACGAGTGTCATGACCCCGCCGTTGAGAGTACCTGTCAGTTTCTGTGCATTAAAGCTTTATTAATTCATCCATTTGAAAGGAGTAGTTCACACAAAAGTTAAAATTGTCGTTTACTCACCCTCATGCTATTCCAATCCCAGATGATTTTATTTTATTGGAACACAAAAGCAGATGTTTAACTGTAACCAGGGGCTGTCTAAAAAGTGCAACTGATCTCAGAGATAATTTGCAGGGCAAGATTTGTTTATTACTGTAAATGTATAACTTTATATTTATAATTAAAAAATAACTTTACATGTAGCATTTTAATTTAATATTTCACAGTTTTTAAACTTTTTTAATAATTATAAATATGTATATTTTATGTTTTATTTTATTTATGGTTTCATAGTTAAAAAATTTTTTTTAAATATAATTACACACCTTTTTACGCATTTTATATTAATTTGACATTTATAATTGTATTTTATGATTTCGTTGTTTTAAGTTTTTTTTATATATTATTAGACCATTTTTACACAGATTTTCAAATTTTGAATTGTAATTTTTGTATTTTATGATTTCACTATTTTAAAATTATTTTATAAATTATTACAAATAAAATTTGCAATAATAGCTGGAAATTGTACAGTTATTTAAGAAACTTTCAAGAGCAATAAATTAAACTGATTTACTGCAAAACATTACAAATTGGTTTGTGATTAATTTTTTTCTTATTGATCGCTAGTAATCTTTTCAAATTCGACAGTTTCATCTTTATTACCCAGTTATATAATTCTGCCTAATATTAAATACTTAAGTTCATATAAAGTTAATATTAAAGTTTTTAATGTAATAATGAAGTTTAAAAGGTTGACAATCAGAATTCTAAACCGAAAATCACATAAAACAAAATTTTTACATTTGCAAGACATAAACACTTACATATCGGTCCGAGGCCAGTAGGCCATCTTTCAAGTTGAGCCCTGCATAAACCGACAATAATGGTTTAAGCAGTTTACAACAAAAATAACATGTCCCAATTTGTTCGACTTTCGTATCCTGATGATCTAATGCACCAGACGTTTCATGCTAATGGCAGTCTAACTGACTAGAAGATCAGGTTTAGTAGGATCATCGCCTGTTATTTTGTGATTACCCACTAAATCCGTTACTTCCTGTCTCCAGGGCAAACCCAGTGTATCATGAGCTTCTACTGACGGTGCTTTGGTATGGAGTGGTTCATACATCTGCACTGGTACGCTGCACCGCTGCACGCATGTTCGAGGTAAGCCCTTCCTCCAATTCACGCTTCAGACATTGACATGCATAGTTATTTTAGTTTATTTTAGTTAATAAATACTTCTAATGTCCTTAAATTTATGTTTAAAGACATTTATCATCCTCCAGGCCAGTCAAATGATGAGTTTTATTACCTAATGCATTGTTTCTAATGCAAATTAGCTGTAATATGATGTTTTAGAAATGTTAATGGTTGGTGTGAGGTGGTAAATATGTATTTTCAGACCTATCCACACTCCCTCTAGGGCCCCCTTGTGCCTTGTCATCCCTGTTACCTGTCAAATCACTGAATGTTTACAAGTCGTTGCAGCTTTAAAGCATCCGTACGTCTTTTGCACCACAGCACGCTTGCTATTGCCATTCAGAAATGACTTAACAAACCCCCACATTTCATCCCCCCACACCGTTGTAAGTCCGTAATGAGGGTTCAAGGAGTGTTAAGAAACTCCATGTGAGAAACCCCTTCTCCTCATCTGTGGTCGTAGCTTTAGTTAAATTCGCCTGGCCTCTTTAGTCCTTAATTTGATTTAATTTATCTGTGTAGCGCCTCCTCGGGCTTCTGTCGTGTTTTTCATTGTATGTCTGCGCTGTTTTTTTAGTTTGTTACCTTTTTTGTGTTCTTTTGTTTCTCTCTCTCTTTCTCTCTGCGGTGTTCCATGACACTGTGCTTGCTCTTTCCATGCATCCTGTGTGACATCACCCCTGCTCTGACCAATCAGCTGTTGGTGAAGGGGGTGAATGAAACTCTAGTAGCTCAGAGAGTTGTTCCAGCACTTATCACTCTCTCCAGTGATCCTGAAATGTAAGTCGTCTCCTGCCTCCTTCATCCATGCACCTCCCTCCGCCTTGGTTCTCTCCGGAGGCCACAACTTTATTAGCCCCTCCTCAAGCAAGCACCGCCTACCTGAGCCAAGAGATAGGCAGAGCCAAGATTTAAGGGTTTCACTTTATTTATGTTGAAAGAAATTAATGTCATATCAAAAATATTGCAGTTTTATTTAAACAATCGAAACAATTAAATGTCTAGGTCACATTTCAATTTAAAAATAAAATTAAATTGAGGATCATGAATAAGTTTTGCATTATGATTTTATCATTTTCATCCATAATGTGGAAAAAAAAATGTCTAATTACTGTAATACAGTAATGAAAGCAAACTCTCTCCAGTGATCCTGAAATGTAAGTCGTCTCCTGCCTCCTTCATCCATGCACCTCCCTCCGCCTTGGTTCTCTCCGGAGGCCACAACTTTATTAGCCCCTCCTCAAGCAAGCACCGCCTACCTGAGCCAAGAGATAGGCAGAGCCAAGATTTAAGGGTTTCACTTTATTTATGTTGAAAGAAATTAATGTCATATCAAAAATATTGCAGTTTTATTTAAACAATCGAAACAATTAAATGTCTAGGTCACATTTCAATTTAAAAATAAAATAAAATTGAGGATCATGAATAAGTTTTGCATTATGATTTTATCATTTTCATCCATAATGTGGAAAAAAAAAAGTCTAATTACTGTAATACAGTAATGAAAGCAAACCTGTTTGGACCTGTTTTTTCTTTTTCTTCTTTTCTTTTTTTTACAACAAAAATACAATATATAACTAATACTACCATGATGTATACTTGTAATATATACATTTATTTATTTATTTATTTATTTTTATTTTTAATAATTATTTATTTATTTATTTGCATTATAATAGGCTTCTGACATCTGGAGGGTTAACTGTGCTTAATTGCTATGAAAATTGCTAAATTTATTTTATTTTGAGTCTGGAATATGGCCCAGGCATTATTTATATATCATTTTGTATGTATTTTTCTCAGTACAAGAATTTATTTGCATTATAATAAGCTACTAACCAACAGAGAGTTAAATGAGCTTAATTGCTGCCAACATAATGTCACACTATAAATAAACCTAAAATAGTATTTTTTATTATTATACAAAAAATCTAAAATTATTATTTTATATATTTTATTATTTTATATTTTTATTTTATTCTTTATTTTTATTCTATTTTGAGGCTTAAATATGCCCCATATATACAAATTTATTATTGAAATATACCATTGTTAACCATCATTCCAGCTGATATAATTATGACTTGTATGTGCATCATTTGTAATTCATGCTGATGTTATGTCAGTGTGAAAGTGTATCTATGGCTCTCCTGATGAAACCAAGGCTTGAGAGACAGTGCTTATTTTGTTTGTCTCATGTGCTTGATGTACTAACATCCTTCGTTCAGGCTACACTAATCGCCGCACGCTTGGAAAAGCTACCTGCTTTTCACAATCCATTCATCCCCTCAGTCAACTCATCTGTCCATTAATGTGGCCCATGGCATGTTTGGCTGCCAGTCACTCTTTCCCAAAGCCCCCTATAGCACTACAGTCTCCTCTACCCCCCTCCTTCCCTGCTAGATTCTTGGCCATTTGTGTTTGACCCCCCCCGTCTCTCTTTTGCATCTGACTGGTTTGCAGCTGGTTCTTCGAGGCATGAGCGAAGCCTTAATTGACAAGCGAGTAGCTCCAGCCCTTATTACCTTGTGCAGTGGTCCTGAATTGTGAGTTAACCGCAGCTATGAGACACTTTAAAAACCAAATATCCTGTCTCCTCTCCGCATTCACTTGGTTGGATATTTTGTATTTTTTATTTTGTATTTTTTTATTTTGTATTTTCTTGGGGGGGGGTGTACTTGGATATTTGTTGACTGTTTCTGTTTTGGTTTTCATACTGACATGGGAATGATCATGTGGCATTAATCATCTTGCTTACCACATATTCCATCAAGTGATTGGCATCTCATGGTTCTGTTCCATTCATGCATCTTTTATCATTTTAGTGTGGAAATGTATGGTTTCTTTTGGATGTGTAGTGACGGATTTTCTGTTTTCAGCTCAGTGAGGATATCAACAATACCTGCCTTCGGAACTATTATGGAAACCGTAACTCAAAAAGAGGTACGAGTCTTCCATATTACAGACACCCACACAACCCACATATATTTGTCAATTTTAAAGGGGTCATATGATGCGATTTCAAGTTTTCCTTTCTCTTTGGAGTGTTACAAGCTGTTTGTGCATTGATAAGATCCCTGAAGTTGCAAAGACTAAAGTCTCAAAACCAAAGAGATATTCTTTATCAAAGTTAAGACTCTGCCACACCCCCCTAAAACGGCTCGTTCTAACGCGCCCCCACATATCTAGGTCAATATGTGGGAATATATATGCGTATTATATATTATATATATACATAATGCGCCCAAATGTGCACGCAAAGAAAGAAGGCGTGGTTTCAGTAACCGCAGTTAGTGTTGAAGCAGCATGTCAGGGAGACGCTGTGTGTTTC